TGGCGCTATTGCGGTCAATGGGAATACAACTGAGATAAGCAAAATCAGGCTTAATAGGACGGAGACGTCTTAAAATTTCCAGTGGGTGAGGGCTTGTTACATGTGCAGCCAAACAGGAGCTCAGAGCCCCGCTAGCAGGATATCAGAGAACAAAACTGACAAATCCAGTCTACTTTATATTCTCTTGAATCACTCACACAATTCCTGGTATCGATTAGGAAAAATATAAATCAATGGATAAAATCCGGAACTCTCTGAGACATAATAGAGTAGTCAATAGTCAGCGCCAGGCTGGAAGGGGAAAAGAGAAGGGGGGGAATGTCGGAGAGTTAAGGCGGAACACAAGGTTTTTAAAGGGAAACCGAGGGGGGGTGGGGGGTTGTCAGTCTACGCTATCAGAGTATAAAAGGGGGACTGTAGAAATTTAATTGCCAATGAGGGAGGGTCATCAGATAACCACAAAGCCTGAGGAGGCTAAGATAAATTTTGCTAAGACCCCCGTAGGTGATTAATAATTACTAATCCTTAGATGCAACGGAGACAAGATGTGAAATTCTCAACTGGCATAAATTATTTTGCGTTCAAATTTTGCATGCATGTTTTTCTTTTTTCTTTCTTTATTATTTTTTTTTCTAGCTTTTTACAACGTTGTTTTCTTTTGCGCACTTTTCTTATAAAAGGATTTGCATGATATGTTTGTTTGCCATCTACCCTCGCTCAGGCACAAATTTAACGATCGTTCGTTCCTTACCTGTCTTTGTCGTATATTTCTTTGCAGGAACTTGGGGGCGTGACAGGCTCTGCAGATATGAGATGAGAAAAACTATAAGGCAATCAGTCATAACTGGATAAATGTTGATATTCCAAATTATGTTAACAACAACAACTTTTGATCCAACCAAAATTCAGAACTGACGGACCGACAAAGCGGTGACGTTAAAAACAACAGAAACGATCTTCTACATCTTACTTGGTACACAGCAGTCCTGTTTCTTGTTAATCAGGTCCTCAAGATCTGACAACTTGTCCAATATTTGGCTGCAAAGTTTTTTTTTTTTGCCAGCAACAGCGCCAATTGCGAGATAAACCAGAAAGATGAGCGCACAAAATTTCATCGCTTTCGTCTTCTCACTGCCTTGAATACACTTGATTTCAGCGAGACTCGATGATTAGTGAGGATGTTTTAACAAACGCCAACTTTTAAACACATGAATCGCCGCTGACATTCATTACAATTTCACCGTACTTGAGTTTATACTCAAGCCTTATGATTTGTTGCGAGAATTTCTACATTCATCGGACTTATGTTAAGAAGCTATTTTTACCAATTTTCCTTAACCAACTGACCAATAGCAATTCTGATTCAAAATGGTATTCATGCTTTAGACGAAATTCGAATAACCATAGATACTGACGACGGAAGAGCCAAAGTAATTTATCAAATCTTTCAAGCCTAATCATGATGGCAAAGGTGATGTATGATTAAGGCCAAAATTAATGCGACACACGAAATTTCCTTTAAGGCGAGCGTTATTCGTACGTAAAGTTATGTAAGTAATTTATTAAATCTTTCAAGCCAAATGATAATGGAAAACGTAATACGTGTTTAGGGTCAAAATAAATGCGACACGTGAAATTTCCTTTAGGGCGAGCGTTATTCGTACGTAAAGTTATGTAAGTAATTTATTAAATCTTTCAAGCCAAATGATAATGACAAACGTAATGCGTGTTTAGGGCCAAAATAAATGCGACACGTGAAATTTCCTTTAGGGCGAGCGTTATTCGTACGTTAAGTTACGTAAGTAATTCATCAAATCTTTCAAGCCTAATTATGATGGCAAACGTGATGTGTGATTAAGGCCAAAATTAATGCGACACGTGAAATTTCCTTTAAGGCGAGCGTTATTGTACGTGAAGCTATGAATCAGCGTTAGGCGTGATTTGCTGCCTGAAATATAAGTGACCCGTGAATTTTTTCTTTCGTACGAGTTTCCTTTTTGAATTCGTGAGTGTGAATTTTCTACAATTCGTGCGTGAAACGGGGTCAGGAATTTCCAAAATGAGTAATGGCTGTCGGTAAACTAAAGAAATATTACTTTAAGCGTAGCCAAGGTCATTATGATTTTAAAATTCATATGATGACCACTACTTCCGTTAAAAAAATCACTAGCTTTGCAATTTTTCTTTATGCAAACTCGAAATTTCGTTTTTTTTTATGAGTTGCAAAGTTTTAAAGCACTGATTTCGGTTCTTTAGCCTCGGATTCTTTTCCCCAAAGTTCTCGAAGTCTCAGATCTGCTCTTGAGGCTGAGGTTCGACGGCTTGACTCTCTCTCAGTTTGTGCCTTGCGGAAGTCTATGTTCAGGACGCCCCTTAGCAATGAGAGAGGAGCTCTTGTATATTTCTTGCACACAAGGACCATGTGCATCGAACACAAGAAAGAACCGGATATGTAATATTTTACTTCCACGACGAAGAAGCATTTCTTGCTTCAATTTTTTTTTTCAGATTATTTCATTGCTTTATGTAGTAGCGTATGATCGCTGTCGTTTGAAAAAATTGTGATGTGGAAGCTGATGTATCGCAAAAACTAATAGTACGAGTATTTTTTATTTCATTGCAAAATAGACTGTTATAAAACGACAACGGCATCACCAATGACGGGATAAACCAAACCGTTATCCGTGCAAAACTTCATCGCTGCAGTTTCACTGTCTTGAGTGCCTCTTACTTTTAATGAGACTACGTGATAACTGGGGAGGCTACTGAAAACTTCGGCCAAAAGCCAGCCAATGATTTGCCTCATACAAGGCATCACCCGCCTTCGGGCCAGCTTAGCGGATGAAAATTCAGGGGGCTTCACGTCAAGGCTAGTGCCCCGCATGCAGCCTTGAGATACATCCACTTTTCCGACACCAAAGAAAAATTCAACAAGAAATGGCTTGAGGAAATTCTGGTAGTTCAGAGAGTGGCAGAGACATAATGCATAAACAAATTGAAGCGTTTAATCTCCTCTTTCTAAACTTCATTTCGAGACTTTTTCAACGATATTCGCTTGCTCCCAGTGAGCAGAATAGCATTTTAAAAAATCACTGCGAATGATCCCGAAGTAAGAGAAGAAACAAGGTGATCACAAAGTAAAGTTTAGGGAGACCTCTGGATTAACAATACGGCTCGCCCTCTGGGTTTTTTTAAACTTCGCCGCAGGACATAGTTATAATAAGATGCGTTACATTGTAAAACTTAGTAGCACGTGCGTCCTCCAGGGACCCGCTCCCGCAAGTTCAACTACTTAAGAGCCCATGACTGTAAATATCGAGAGTCGCTGGCCAGGCTAAAAAAATCGAAAATTCTGACAATTTGCCTGGAAAACCCTTTTAGGGAGATATATTCAAAAAAAATATTTTGAAGTTTGAAAAATCAAATGTGTCCGAGAAAATGGAGAAAAACGAAAACTCGGGTTTTTACCTTTCTACAGCCCTCTTCAGCAGTGTCTGCGGATTTTTTATTCTATAGTTTCATATCATTTCCATATCAAAGATTACTTCATAGCTCTCAAGTACGATTTCTACAACTGATTTGCATCATGCAAATTCTTGACCTTGGCCACAGTGCGTTGCAAACTCTTTTATTTTTTAGGCACTTTTCTAAATTACCCAGACTTTTTATTCCATATTGTGTTAGTATAAGGACCAAACTTTGTGTCAGCATGTAGTTTGACATGATGTCACACATACCAAGACGCGTTTTGAAGGCTTGAAGTTGCTCGATTTTTCGCTTTTTGCAACAAGCGTTTGACGGCACTTCGTTAAAAAATCATGTGAGTTTTAAAATTAAACCAAAGCTCCTTAAAATGCCACAAATAAAAATCAAATGAATAATAATTTGAAGTAAAAACACCCCCGATTTCTTACCAAACATCCTCCTTCAGTACTCGCACACTAAAGTTGGTTGATTTTACTGTATTTTTTGCATAATTAATTAGGTAAAAACCCGAGTTTTCGTTTTTCCCCATTTCCTCGGACACATTCGATTTTTCTAACTTTAAAATAATTTTTTTGAACATATCTCCCTAAAAAGGGTTTTCTAGGCAAATTATCAGAATTCTCGTTTTTTTTAGCCTGGCCAACGATTCTCAATATTTACAGTCACGGCCTCTTAAACATTCGTTGTCAGTCACCATGTAGATTTGACTGAGTAAAAGTCTCAGTTTCTTATCATGGTTGTCCCTCCTGTTATTACGGACATTACAATACTTATCGTCTTCTCATTTTTTCCCTTTTATCACAAAAAAAGCACTTATCATATATTGGTCTCGATAGCTCATGCAACCGTCTCAGCCAATCAGATGAATAGCCACAACCACTGGCAAATTGGTCACCCGCGTTTTCCCGCGCTTCAGCAGTTTGCTTTGAGCTCTCATTGGCTCCTTGAGATATTTGTCCTCTGGTTGGCCACTTTGATCTCTTTGGCTTTTGGTTTGCATAGGCATAATCATAATCAAGAATATTTTCAGCTTTTTTTGTTGTATATTTGGCAATCCCACCATGTTAAAAGACCTTAAATAATAGATAATTTGCATTTTTATCAACTGAGTTGATAACACTTTTTCCAAGGACGGGTCATTTTTTATCACCGGGGAGGGGAGGGAGGGGTGGTCGGAGTATTTTGGTTGTGTCAATGAAATTAAACTGATCTCCCTTACGGCTCTGTAGTATTATGATCCCCAACGCACCCACCTTCCCCCTCCCCCCCCCTTACAACATTAAATTTCCTATAATTCCCCTCTGTGTAGGAATCGTTGAACTCTACTGCATTTACAACTTCATCGGTGCAATAGGACACTGCGTTTTGTTTATATCAGTTTCTTGTTTGAACCGGTTTGATCACGTGAATTTTGTTGAAGGATAAGTTTTTTTTTCTTCGATTAGAGAAGGAGTCTTTTTTCTAGTGATGTTCTGAGCACGAAGTGATTTATACGATGAAGGAGTAATTTATACGAGTTGTCTGAACCACGATTATTACACCCTGTTCGCGACGGGTGATCCCCCCCCCTCCATTCAACTTGTAAATCCAGTGACCCCCCCCCTCTATTCCACTTGAAAATCCTCCAAACGCTCCTAAGAGTAAAGGGCTAACGCTCGAAACATCAGCTTTGTAATTTTTATACAGAGGCCAATTTTGCGTCCTCAGCTTAGTTGATAACACTAGATTACCCTGTTATACTCTCCCACCGACGCAGCACCACAGTTTCTTTAAAAATATCCTATATAAAAATATATCCTTCTGTTTTGTTTAATGTTCCTTGAAATTCTCTTTTATAGCCACACCTTCCTTTTCATGACCCCATGAAAGCTAGGGGGTGTTATATCCTCATCGAGGGGGCGCTTATTCATTAGCAGCTTCACTGTAATTTTGGAATTGGTTATCTCTTTTATGTGGCAAATTTTGTTCAAAATTGGAGCTGTTATCCTCCTTGCCCTCTATGGAAACCAAAATGTTGTTTACCAGTACTTTGACCTAATGTTTTCTTAAATTTTGCCTCCGTTTCAAACTTACAATGATGTAGAAACTCTAAAAAGTTACTACATTGCTCATATGTAGGATTTGGCAAAGTTGTAAAATTATTTTGAGCAATAATTATTTCAGCTAATTCTTTAACGGAAGAAACTTTTGCATATTCTACAATTTCCTCATGATCGATGTTAGCAGGTGTGATCTGGTCCAAGTGTTCTTCCTCATTCACAGCTTGTACTGGGGGCATCGTCATAAAGTACAAAGTTACACATGAAGGGGCAGCTTCCAACAAAGTATTACAAAGCTTCTCTTGAAACGATTGGGTGAGAGAACACGGAGGTTTCGAGTCATGAGGTTCATGACAATCCTTAGTTTTTTTTCCGTACTCTGATTTTTGCAGTTTAACATCTTCCATTGGTACAGCATTTTCTGTAATTTTTATACCTTAGAAAGTCAGCTCATTCGCACAGAAACCCAACAAACATGGCAATAAATTGGAAACCATAACTTTCATTCACTCGTAGAGAAAAGGAAAAAAAACAGCGCACACATGTGACTTACCCGCCCGGCATTGAAAGCATAGTATGCAGAGTAAATGCTTTCAATGTTTATAAGCACATTAAAACCCCAATAGAAGTCTTTTCTATCTTCAGTCTTAGACCTGTCAGTTGGTTTTATTTTGAACTAAGAAAATTGCAGTATCCGGTCTGTTCTTCACATCCTCCACATGCCCGCCTACAAATAAGCGAAAATTCTCCAAGCTATCATACGACCGTAACCAATCTTTATCTCAACCATCTTTTCCAATCAAATAATGGTAACTATCAGGAAACCTATAGTAAAAAACCTGTAGACTGTAGTCTTAAGCGAAAGTGGATGGGGAAGTTCATCCGGACAATGTTATCTTGGAATTAATCAAAAATAGAACAAAATTCTCGAACGCGATTGGTTATTACCAGCCCGATTTAAGCACTAACAGGACAGTGTAAGCGTCTTGCTTGTAACTGGAAAGTGTTATGGGACGATGAACACGTCATGCCTGTGTAAGTGGAAAGAACGCGTCATGTGCGTCAACTGTTCGGTAAACAAACCGAATAACTTACAAATTTCTTGCATTTACTAGACCCGTGTGGTGGATTTACCTTGCTTGAATTGTTGTCTACTAGAATTTACCACCAGAAAATTGCATAGTTTTGTGTTAAAAAATCTCAAAATTGTACGATTTAAAAAATTAAACAACACTTTTAGGATATGTTAACACTTCAAAATCATATTTACCGTTTAACATCAGCATGCATATTCTTCATACTGTTCTCTATACATTTCCAAAGAGGCTGACAAGGAGAATTTAATAATCAAGAGCTGCTTCAGTTGGTGATCTTCACCTCTATTCTCATGACTTTCATGTTTGATTCAGGGATGATAGAGTAAGGAGAATTTAGATGGTAGTCACTCTTAGGGGCTAATGGATTAATTAGGATTACCCAACGTGGCGAAATCTCAGTTGAAGTCAGAAAGCTTGGTTTTGTTTTCAGCCATAATTCGCATCGCGTTTGAGAGTGAATTGTCATCAACTCTAAAACTAATTTCGTCGCTTGAAAGAATTACATGCCCATTTTTTTAAAAAGAGTATTATTTGGCATGTTTTATTTTCATTTTGAGCTCCAAAAGGTCGATCTCAGCCGGGATAGAGCGAGGAAAAAATCTTGCACATTTTTAAAACTCACGGCTAAACTCAACGGGGACTTTCAGCCAAAGTGAAATTGCATACGTCATGTGATAGACGCACGGCCGTGCAAAATATAAGGATTTTTACCATGGTAGCTCCTCAGGAAATAGGTAGGCCTTGCGCCCGCGCTATATTGTGATAATTTATGCTAATAACGATTATCAAAAATTGCGTTTCTAGCCAAACAGCGTGTTGATAAAATAAGGAGAAGTAAATTTTTGGCCGATTCTGGGAGTAAAAGTGATAAAATTTCAGAGAAATGCATATAAAGAGACGTGATTTAGATTCATTAACCCACTTTTATTGTTCTTTCGCGTAAGTGCAAAAGCAAAAACCTACATTTAAAATCCCCATTACTGAAATTAGAGCATGATCATCGCTTTACGTCACATGCAACTTTTTCCTTAAGCAGAGCAGTTTAGCTTCTTTACTGAACGAAGATGTAGCCGAAAGCCTTGATATTTTTGTCTCCGTTGTCCGCACTCCACGAGGCTCCGTTTCCACAGGCGTTTTCGAATCCTGACCCTCCTCCACCAAATCCGATTCTGGAATCAGGGAAGTTGCAATCGTTTTCTTGATTAGCGATGATTCCAATTCGAACTCTCGAGGTACGGTGCATAGTTCCTTGCGAGTTGAACCCTTCTTTGTTACATTTAAGCTGCAGGGAGGCATCGGGACCAATCAGCGTCTTCCATTCATCCCGACCCAGCGAAGTAGGACGGTATTCACCATCAGCAATGAGGTCATCCAGTGAGGCTGCTGCCTTATCCACTTGCAAGAACCTGGTTACTCCATTGACCTTCATACCGAGACAGATCTTGGTGAAGGACGTGCTCCAGTAGGTTGGTAACTGGGTCTCCAAGTGATCCAACCCAGTGTCTCCATTTTGGGGAGAGAATGAAGACCTGTCATACCACCTGTTTGAACCATACCAGAACGTGTTCTGCAAGATGAAGCAATTTCCAAGTTAGAAACGAAAATAATTCGGAATTGAATTGTTACTGCTTCCCTTTGCTTTATGAGTGCTCCATCAAACTTACGCCAGTCCCTCAACTGGTAGGATGTTATAAAAAAGCAATTTTCAATTGAAAGTAAGGCGGGATTGCATTGCATTGTACTCTCTCAACCAATCAGATGTAACACTAGCACGAATCACGACTTGGTCGCCCTCGTTTTCCCGCGCTTTGGATGGTTTGCTTGTTTTCAATTTGAGTTCTCATTAATTGGCTCTCTAAGGTATTTTCCTTTCCTCTGATTGGCGTTTGTAAATACTTTGGTTTTGGTTGTCAATCTTAAAGCGCTCTAGAGTTAGTCTTGACTTAATCACTCCAGCCTTCCTGCTCTTTGAACAGTTTCCTTTTTTTTGTTTTTGTTTTTTGTTTTTTTTTGTTTTAATTTGTTTACTTTAACTTGTCATTTGCCTATCGTGATAGTTTCATCTCCTCTGATTGTCTTAAAATTGTGATTACTTTGCATAATCAATGAAAAAGGGTGCTAGAGATACATGTCACTCTCGTCTCAAAGTTCAAAAAAGGCTGAGTCATGATGTGAAGAAAATTTCGAAGGACATTCCTCTTGAAGGATGACCATGTTCCAATATCTTTTATGTTTTGAGAGTAGGAAAACATTTTGAGTAACTAAAATATATCTAGGATCGCTCAATGTAATCTCATGATTATTTTACAACAAACAGGAGTGGGCGAAATAAGAAACGACTTAGTTTTCATTCAGAAAACTCGAAGAACAGAAGTCCATTGAATTGGTAGAGCTACGGAATCTCAAACATGCCTTTTCACCATCAATCTTCATGACCAGCGTCCATCCGCCATCTCCGCATTCTCCGAGCTCCCCACTCATGGAACAGTACACAGGCAGATCTCCATTGTCTAACCTGAGGGTATATGCCTTGTTGGAGCTGGCGCTGGGAAAAGAGTTGACTCTTACATTAATTTCTTGGACGGTCACGCAACGCAAAAATGAAGTAGAACTACGTGAAATGGCATTGAAGAACACACGCACACATTTTTATTTTTATTTTCATACATATTTACAAGATATTCCTTTGACTCGCAGATAGCAAATGCTAATCGAGACGGGTCAATTTATTTTTCTTTCTTAACTAACTTAATTTGATTACACTGGGAATAAAACGGAAATGAAGAAATACAACATAAAAAGCCAAATGATACACAAGAAAAGAAAAAAGGAAAATGACAGATGTTCATTGTAAAGGAGAATAAGTCCTAGAGTTTTTAAGTGCACGAAAAATATTATAGAACTGGTTCAATTTGGTTCAATTTTGCTGTGTTTGAATTTTAGCACTATCTCATCAGGCCTCATATAAGAATCTTCAGTATCTAGAATATTGAGAAGAGCTCTTTTTGTTTCTTTTTTTGAAAGATTTTCTTTGAGAAGTTTTTATATTCACTAGATATCTCATTCCAGACTTTGACACCAACACGCGAAAAGGCCTTTCTTTGCATTTTAAGCCTGGACTACCCAACGTTTAAGAGTTGTGGCGTTGATGAGCGAGTAGTATATGTATAGATGTTTGAAGTTCTCGTGAAAAGTTTTATGATGTTAGAAGGTGCACCGTCGTTATGAACATCGAGCATTAATTCACAAACTACTTCATAATATGAGAAGGTAATAGGCAGAATTTTTGCATTTACAAATAAGAAAGGCTGCTAAGAAGTCATGGTTTAGTACTATCACTGTCAATGAAAATACTAAAGACGTCTTAATTTTTCAACAAGTAGAGGCTTGTTACATGGCTATGTAGGTAGAAAGTTAATACATGATTTCCTTCCCTTTTCTCTGCGCTTCTTGCTTTGACTAGTTTTCTTGCAAAAAATTTTCTGTGTATTTGATACCCTACCTCGTCCCACAAATTTAGTGATTGTTCGTTCCTTACCTGTTCTGGTCGTATATTTCTTTACAGGAACGTGGCTGGTGCCCTGAAGAGATCATGAGAACAAGTTGTGATGCTAATCGTCAGAGATAAATCCAGGCTTCACATTACGTTTCCTGATTATTGTTTACAAGTGGTTTTCCTATCGCTCTGACGAAGGGCTAACGCTCGAAACGTCAGCTTTTAAACTCTAAGGAACCTTAAGCAAACCACGACGATGACGGCAACGAGGACGTGGAAACACAAAAGATCTAATCGGCAGAACAATAGCTCAGCACGTGCGTTTTAGTACTTTGTACATTTCTTGGCCGTCCTATGTAACAACGTGAAATCACCACAATTTGCGTCGTCTGCGAACCGAAACCGCGACGGCAAATTGTTTTAATTTCCACTTGGAACTCAACGCTTCTTTTTCCTCTACGTTATGCTGAAGTTGAGGTGTGGCACCATATGAGACGGTAAACAAATGCAGCCATTTTTTAAATTCTAATTTAAGGCAGAAA